AGTGTACAACAGAAATTCTAATCAGCAATTGGTTGCATTAGTTCCGCATTTCTCTAATCTTCCGCGAAATACGCTCAATGTGAATGCGGGTTTTCAGAAGGGCGTATTCTAGTAAATAAAAAATAACGTATTCTAGTAAATTACTAGAAACGCAGGTTACGCTTACGCAGGTTAAGCCGAATGTGACGCGGCACCCATAGGCCGGTATTCATAGTCGGTTCTTATTTTAAGACCGTCTTAAGTAATGTCTTAAGACGCTAATGCAGCCCTCTGATTGGTTCGTGACTTCTTAAGACCGTACTTAAGACGGTCTTGAATATAAGATCTGACTATGAATACCGGCCAATAGAGAATGGACTGCGCGATCCGTGTGTCAAAATGGTCGTTAGGGATGAGAGAGAGGGACCGTGGCAGACGACCATTTCTATCTCTTTCCATTCAATGGTGTAATGGGAAAGAGAATGAGAGAGGGATTGGCCGTCTCCCATGGTCCCTCTCTCTCATTATTGTCGACCACATTTGATACATTACTTAGGCCGGTATTCATAGTCGGATCTTATATTTAAGACCGTCTTAAGTACAGTTTTAAGATGTCATGAACCAATTAGAAGGCCGCATTAGCGACTTAAGACATTACTTAAGACGGTCTTAAAATAAGAACCGACTATGAATACCGGCCTTAGATACGGATCGCGCTGTCCATTCTCTATGTCTTTGGTATGTACGTACGTACATACCATTGGGAGCTACATACTTCTCCACCCTCCTACACTCGAGGGATTTTATTAATGAACAGCAGTGTACATACATAACTTATAAAAAATTATCTCGTTAACTCGATTTAAACGGAGAAAAGTGTCTTCTATATAAACGCATGGTTAATCAATATGTTGGATTCCCACTTAGATGTTCTCCGGGTGAGAATCCGACACGTCATGTCATCCTTATTTAACGTTTGATAAATAACAAAATTGGAGTGATACCTGGGCACTCGAGTGATCATCTGAACACAGTGTTGGTAACCTAGAAACAGTGGCCGATCGTACCAGGGCCGTAAATTATCGTACCTAATTATCGTACATGCATACATCGCTCGCGCGAACAAAATTTAAAAACGAAATATGTAAAATTTTAATCCACAATTAGGACGGTCAGAAATAACAATTTTATTTATTACTTAACGTTGAAGTTATTTAGAAATCAGCTTCCAAAATAGATAAGAAATTTCTCGATTAATTCTCAATCGATTTCGCTGAAATTACCCATTCAGCACTTTAGAAGCCCCTTAATACACGATCTTTGAAACAATAACCGATATTTTATTGATTTCAAGAGCTTAAACATTCTATAGAATAAATTGTATTTCTATAATATCCAGGTTAAAAATACAAATTGGAAAGTGATTATTTCAGTATATTTAAAACAATTTTAAAAGAAAGAAACGGTACAAATGTGGCTTTTTACATATGTTGACAATAAGTTCACTTGTATTATCAATATCACAATTTTTTATGTATGTAGTACATATATATATATATATATTTTCGTTTTTATCGTATTAGCATCAATTACAGTCATTTCGCTTCACAGATTAAGCCACGTGACTAGAACGATAAATCTTTGATAAGACTAAACAATATATAACTCGCAAATTATAAACGAACAGACTTCAAAGAACAAATAATATTTAAAATTCATACTTAATTTCTATGATTTTTAATAAATAACGATATCATCCAAGTCATTTAATTCATCGTCTTCTTCAATGCCTACTCTGTTGGTAATATGTATATATAAAATTAAGAGAGAAGAGTAATAAGTCAGAAATATAAAATTATCGTATTTTAGACGTACGATAATGAAGTGCTATCGTACATAGTACGTATAAGTAAAATTATTGTACGTATACGATAATTATCGTACGGTTACCAACACTGTCTGAACATAACCATGAAGGTAATTAATTAAGTCTCCAGATAAATATAGAAGTCAATATGGTTAGAATACGAATGTCGTATAATTAATATACAAAAAGGCGACAATGTAAATCAAAATCAAAATGGGTACACAAAACAAAGTCGGCAATAACCTTGCCATATGTATGTGTGATTTCCGATCTGCAAAAATTCATTTTCCTATGTCCCATTGAGCGGAACTTGTGGATGCACTATCAACGCGGGCCAATGACAAACGCTATTCTGGTAGATCTAATGAAAGTGATCTAGGGAAAAACTCTTGCGATTGATCAGAGCTAATTGCGCATTCCGCAAATTCCGTTCAACATGTCCCGTTGGGACATAGGAAAACACATTTTAGCGGAACGGAATCGGCGGAGCAAAGCCACGACCAATTACGAACGTTTCGCCAATTCCGCATTGCTTCAATTCTGCATCATAGGACCGTGCCATAAGGATATACAGTACAAGTACAGTAGGGACAGCAAATCTGTGCGGTTGATTGAAAACGCAACATATGCAAATGTGTACAATATTATTGATAAAAGTATGTACACTTATGATATTCTTGATATTAATATAATAAAATCGGGCGCTGAGAGTCAAAATTGCGGTAATTAGTGCAAAAAATATAAGATTTTTTTAAATATTCAAGTAAAACTATATAAAAAGTTCAGACTTTTCAGCTTACTTTCGAGCCATCTTCAGTGATCCGACTATCAATATCAAATCAACAAATATCTTCATGAGACGAGCTAGAGAGTGACAGCTCCCATCCTTCATATAGCAATTATCTCAAGATGTGCAAGTCTTGTGGCAAACAAATAGAAGAGAATTCCGCAATCTCATGACGATTAATGCTCACTTATAAATTACATGCGACAATAAATTACATACAACATGTCAAACTTTAATATATTAAGAATTATTCAAACTTAAGTCTAATTAAAATCATTCTAACTGAAATCAAACAGTCAACCATCGTATAAAGACGTTGAGAAGATATTCATCGTTCATTTAATATTGATAGTTGGGCCATTGAAGATGGCTCGAAAGTAAGCCGAAACATCTGAAGTTTTTATATAGTTTTACTTGAATATAAAAAAAATCTTATATTTTTTGCACTAATTACCGCAATTTTGACTCTCAGCGCCCGATTTTATTGTATTGATTTTTTCGAGAGTTCGATTTAAAGGTTAGATCAAGATTCTTGACATCTTATATATTATTTAATTACACATAGTAAAAAATCATTACTTAAAGTTATGAACATGAGATGTCGAGGTATTTTTCTGCGTTCTTCCTGCAATCTAGTCAAGTCCTTACAATCATACAACTCGAAATGACACTTTAGTTTTAGCACTGAAAATCTTGGCGTGTTCTTTTGAACTTGCACTATTCAGTGCAACTCGTGGTACTCGTCCAATGTTTGTGTGAACTGAGTGCGCACTGATGCGCACTAAAGCTGGAAACACAATAGACACAGGCAATAGGCACAGGGTGCTTTCCAGCAAGGACACAATCAAACACAGTGTAACACAGTGAATCGTTTCATCCTTGTTTAACGTAAGCAAACAACAAGGACGTATGATTCACTGTGTTACACTGTGTCTGACTGTTCCCTTGCTGGAAAGCACCCACAGACAACAGGGAATAACGAGCCGTCCAATCAGAGCTCTGGGATAATATCGAACTTATACCCCAAACCTCTGATTGGACGGTTCGTTATACCCTGTTGCCTGTGTCTATTATGTTTCCAGCTTTATGCATTCTGATTCGCTGTTGCAATCTAACCAATTGCGTGACTTGGCAGCCATTTATAGTACTAGTGACATATTTCTATTTCATTTTATCCTATACATTCTATCTCACATTATCCTAGGGTGCGTTCCGTTTCTCGCATGATGCGTATAATGCGTCGTTTATCCTTGTTGCTCACCAAATGTTAAACAAGGACAATGGATGCATCATGCGCATCATGCGCGATACGAAACGCACCTCTACACGTCTTATCTTGTTTGACATAGTTTAAAGGTAGTTTCATAGCATGTTGGCCATGTTTAGTACTCTCCTTAGCACCTTTGTCATACTGACTTAAGCCGGTTGCGCCTGATAAATCTAGGACTCTAGGGCCGGTATTCATAGTCGGTTCTTATTTTAAGACCGTCTTAAGTAATGTCTTAAGTCGCTAATGCGGCCTTCTGATTGGTTCATGACATCTTAAGACTGTACTTAAAACGGTCATAAGGCCATTCTACATTGGTCGTATCGTAGCGTCGGAAGCATCGTAAGCATCATACAACTTTAAAATTGGAGCATCGGAACATTTGTTCAAGCAACAAACTTGTGACTTGCGACGTCTACGATACGACCAATGTAGAATGGCCTTAAAATCCGACTTACCGGCCTAGGCACCCTAAACTTTCATTGACGGCACGAAGGGTTTCCGGTCTAGACCTTTGAAGTTTGTGGCGGGTTGCCGGCTGCCATCTTGCACCTCGCTCGTTTGAGAAGCCGGCCGCCCTAAAAAATTTGGAGTTTCACGCGTTCGCGCGGCCTTAGCAACTTCGTGAGTGATTTTTGTATACTCGCAACGAATCCAGGAATCCATCGTGTTGAATCCGATCAATATTCAAGCTCGGAATGGTTTAGGTGAGTCTTCTGAATGGGTCTACATCTATTCCTTGATCATAATGGCGTGTAATTTATTGAGTACATGTGTATATGTGCCTTGTACCTCTTATATGCTTTTGCGTGCTTTTCTTCCGTTGGTCCGTAGTATATTCATCTCGTAACTCTTGCGATTCCTCGAATTAGTTGGAAAATTAATTTTATTTTGATACAATTTTGTATGCCTCCGAAAAAAAACTTGGAAATATATCTTTGAATATATGCAAAATTCGAGCGTTATAATTGAGATAAATGAAAATATAATAATACGTTCTCTCTTAATTGTTAATTAATAAAAACTCAGATTTATATTTCTGTCTGCATATTTTTATCATATTTATTTTTTGCTGGTTCAAAATACATCTTTATAAAATTTATGATACTGTTTTTTAATCATAGCAAATTTGCATGTGTCTCGAGATTTTGAATCTTTTTAATATATTTAAAATAAATTATGTGTACATTTGTAATCAACTTTAAAATAACAATAACAAGAGAGAGAGAGAGAATAAATGAATGAATGAATGAATGAATGAATGAATAAATGAATGAATTTTTATTTTTCAAGCTTCCATATTCTTTTTAAGATACATACACACATACACATACTATATATATATATATATATATATATATATATATAACTTGCTAACTTTTTGTTATAGCAAATTAGATGCATTCACAAGGAAAGGCTACATTCTGGCTTCATTGATTTTGATCAAACTTGCAACAATGTTAAGAGGCGATTAAAAACCAACAACTATATAACTGTTCCTTCAAATGGCTTTAAAGAAGCTGTTTTATACTAATAATTAATTATGGCTTTATGGATCAAGTTTTTTTCTCACCTAATGATTATTTTAAACGTTCCTAGTGATTTATACAATACAAAAAATGGTTCAATGGAAATCAGAGATACTAAAACGACCTATTGACTATCTTCATTTCATTCATCATTGATCACACTTGAACCAGCATCCTATGGCACCATAGTTTAGCACACTAACTGCTGATCCATAGTAGCTTGTTAGTATGTCTTCCTATAATAATAGTATATACTAATATATATACAAAATATATGTTGTTCAATTATGTACTCGGTTTCTAAGATTAAACATTTTATAGAAGTTGGTTTCGTATTCGTCTAACATTGCTGCAAGTTTTTATCAAAATCGGTGAGGATTAGAGCATAGTCTCTCCTTGTCATTGGGCACATGGCATATATTAAAACTGCTGTACACAGATTAATATAAAAATGTGTTTAGTATAAATATAAAACAGATTAAATAGCAAAATTTACAATATACTTTATTGTGTTGTTAGACAAAACATGTATTTTATATTTGCATTTCAGTTTTAAACTTAGATTACATCAATATACAGTAGCTTTTATACGCATCAGTGCATAGTAGTGCATACAATCAAATTCACTATTAAATTATTTATTGTAGCAATTTAATTGATTTTTTCTTTAAATTATTCTTCATATTTTTTATTAATGTAAACATTCAACAGAATTATATAAATTGCTTAGGTTCGTTACTGTTCTCACATGTACGTAGCTGGATAAGCAAGGAAGTTAAAGTCGCTAATAGCTCTAGGTTTGGAATAGACAGTCGAGATAGTATATCATTCAACAAGACACTTATCAATAATAATACTTCTTTGAGAATGGCTTTACCGAGTAGAGCACGTGTCTATGCTGATGTAAATTCACATAAACCAAGAGAATATTGGGATTATGAATCTTATGTTGTCGATTGGGGGTAAGATTTAACAACAATATGTCAATGATATTACTATTATAATATATTATTTTATTTACTATATATATTTTTTTTTTTTAGGCAACAAGATGATTATCAGTTAGTGAGAAAATTAGGCAGGGGTAAATATAGCGAAGTATTTGAGGCTATAAATGTTACAAACAATGAAAATTGTGTTGTAAAAATATTGAAGGTATGATAGAGTATGATCAATATAATACAAATATCTTTTTAGTTGGAAACATTCTTTAATTGGTCAATTCGTAAAATTCTTTCTTCTAATTAATCAATCAAATGCTTCAAAGCATTTATAGTAAAACTAACTGTATTCATAGTCATGTTATATATTATTATATATAAATATTTAATATAAACTGAAAGATGAAAGTAATAATTTTTTATTTGTTACAGCCTGTTAAAAAGAAGAAAATAAAAAGAGAAATAAAAATTTTAGAAAATCTTAAAGGTGGGACCAACATAATTACACTCCAAGCAGTTGTTAAAGATCCAGTTTCAAGGACACCGGCATTGATTTTCGAACATGTCAACAACACAGATTTCAAGCAATTATATCAGACGTTAACTGACTACGACATAAGATACTACCTCTATGAATTATTAAAAGTGCGTGTATTGTTAAGTGCAATGGAACTAAATATCAGTTGATGGTGAACATCGAAATAATTATTTGTTGATAGATGTAGGTGTATATCATGGGTCCGAAAAAGAGTTAAAAGGTTGAATTATTGTTTTTCATATCAAGGATATGAGACAGTTATTAATTTTGCTTTTTGCTGTATCTTTACATCCATATACTAGACATTTTGGATGAAAGTTAAAAATTGTTATTCATGTTTTTAAAACAATTTAAAGAAGTCATTTATATATAGATTATGATTAGTCTATGGCTTTCGTACGATTTCATTTTATTCTTCCTTATTTATAATTTATTAATATTATTTACGCCAATTATTAATGCCAATATTTTTTCTATAAGATGTTAAACATTAGAGAATTAATTTAGAAAAGGCTCTCTCTCAATGATTTTATGATTAAAGACCCTATAATAAAAGTCAAGCCATACGGTAGTCAGTTTTGATTGCCTCGCTAGATTTTATCAATTCCCGCTTATATTTGCATCACACTAATTTTATGTGCCATAAATATTATATTTCAGCAATGTAAGTACGAAATAAATCTTAGATGAAGAATTGTTGTAAAACAGTGCTGCACATCGACTCATTTTCTAAATTTTTATATATATATTTTTTTTGGATATAACTTATTGTGAATAAAAAAATTAAATTTACCTAATAATCTATATTGTAATTGTTACTGAAAGCAATCTCATTTTAAGGAAAATTAGGGCATTCTGATTTTAAAAATAATTTTTTTCGAAATAAACTTTTAAAACTAATTCAATTTTAACTTTTATTAAGTTAATTTTTTATTCCTTCAACTTTTAATTTAATTTTATTAATTTTATAAGCCATTAATTTTAACTTAATTTAGTTTTAAAAAAACATTAACTTATCCAATCCTGAAATTAACATTTGTGTGAATAATTTTAATTGCATTAATATTTTTAATTTCTCTTATCTTTTTTAAATTTAGGAAATCATATATTTTATCTTAAAAGTACATTTGACATTTTACTTAAAAGGCACATGTGGAAACATTTTTTTGTCCTTGTGCATCAACAATTTTTGTTAATTTTGGACTTGTGAATATTTGTTATAAATAACATATTGAAACAGTACGACTAATGCACCATCTAATCGGACACAAATAAAAATATTGTAGTATTTAACATAATTGTTCCTATTTTATGTTCCTGCACAGGCGCTAGACTATTGTCACAGTATGGGAATTATGCACAGAGATGTGAAACCGCACAATGTTATGATAGACCATGAAAATCGAAAATTACGATTAATTGACTGGGGACTAGCAGAGTTTTATCATCCTGGTCAAGAATATAATGTACGAGTAGCTTCCCGCTATTTTAAAGGCCCGGAATTACTTGTAGATTATCAAGTAAGTATTTTACAGTATTAAAATATAACAGAATAAAGGCAAAGAGATTAAAAGGGAAAAAAAAGAAAAAGAAAGTAGAGATAATTTTAATTGTCTTTATAAAAATCTATCATTAAAAAACATTTAAATGTAAATCTTATTTATGTAAACTAATTTGGAATCTTTTGATGTTTTACAGATGTATGATTATTCGTTAGATATGTGGTCATTGGGTTGCATGCTCGCTAGCATGATATTCAGGAAAGAACCGTTTTTTCATGGACACGATAATTATGATCAACTAGTTCGAATTGCAAAAGTTCTTGGAACTGAAGAACTATTCGAATATCTTGACAAGTATCATATTGAATTAGATCCTCGTTTTAACGATATATTAGGCAGACATTCGCGTAAACGTTGGGAACGTTTTGTACATTCAGAGAATCAACATTTAGTGTCCCCAGATAGTTTGGATTTTCTTGACAAACTCTTACGCTATGATCATTATGAAAGATTAACTGCACGTGAAGCAATGGAACATCCTTATTTTTGTAAGCATATATCGACGTGATGCATTATTCTTTAAATCCGTTTTGGTATTTGTCTTTGCATTATCTTAAATGTGTTTCAAAATAGAAAATGAAAATTAATGTTACTGTTACACATAGGCTTGTATATGGTGCATTTATATTTTATTCAGTGAGATATTATGTATCGGAAACATCCTTTCTTTTTAAGAGTGTGTATTTGTTTAATCATACCTTTTCTTCTATTTTAGATCCTATAGTAAAAGAACAGGGTCGTTTGACAATGGTGTCATCATCACCTACTCCCATGGCAGGCTCAGTGCCTGTAGGTGAGTAGCGGCCCAGGTAATGTCACCACCTTAATCTACCTCTATACTAATTGATATAATTATAATATAGTTAACTTATATACTACAAATTTAATATTGTAAAATATGTTTTTTTTATTTCATCAAGATATGCGCTCTCAATGTATCTTTTTTTTCCAAAAATGTTATGCTCAATATTTTATATCTATCATTATGATTATATTTAATTACTCGGTAATACTATAACAAGAAAAATACTCGCTAATACTATAAAAAAAAAAATAAAACGAATACACACATATATATATATATATATATATATATATATATAAATTTTTATGCCTGATACCATGTGCAGGGATGTAATCACAAATGTTATTTGCACTTTACATTGAAATATAACCTGTATTTAAGTAAGATAAAAGAAATGTAAGTTGTAAATACATTAGAAATAGAAAATATTGATTATATATACACATACTGTTTATTTGTTACATTAACTCACTTTTATGTTAATTACCAGCCACGTGACAGTAAGTAATAACTATATCGCGCGTGCGCGCGCGCACACGCACACACAAGATAGAGTATCTCGCCTACATGACCACTCTTAATACCTGTAAGGGTAAGATCGAATAAAAAACATGTTCAAGCAGAATTTGTATGGCTTGACAGGATACAATAATATAATCAATTTTCGAAGAACCGATTTTTTATGATCATTTAAAAATCATGATCATTTTTTCAAATGGAATTGTATGAGTTTTTTTATATTTTTTTATTATTATTTTTGTGCCCTGTTAAATCATCTATTATTTATTAGAACATATTTCTGATTTGCTGATTTTATTCTGCAAAAATGTAAAGAACGGTTGTTAGGTGGAGTATATGTATATACATACACTCTATATATACAACAAAGTGTCCCAGAAAATTTAAATAATTTTCATGTGTAGATAGAATAGACTAAACTGAGTCGAAAAGTTTTGTATCATTTTGCGATTTTCGTAATAATTAACAAGATATTAATTATTAAGATCGCTGAATAAAGTATTTGCTTGGTCATATTGCCAAATGTACGCCCATCTATCATAATCGCTAGGCGCGTGGGGAATTATTTACTACAAGCGACAATAGTTACGCACAGCGACGAAAGAAAACAACTCTGCGTGCTATGTAGTTGTATCTCGCGATTGTATTTGGCAGTAGATTCCCATTCGGGTAGATCTCGTTAACTATTGCGAAAATGGCAAAATTGTATAGAACTTTCTGACTCAGTTTAGTTCTTTTTATTCGTACACGAGCTTTGTTCTAAATATTCTAGGGTACCCTGTGTGTGCGTGCGCGTGTATATACAGAGAGTCCGGTAAGTTTTGATAAAGTGCTCATGTGTAGATAGAGCGGACTAAACTGGGTCGAAAAGTCCTCTATCACACATTTTGAAATTTTCGCAGTAGTTAACAAGATATTAATTACTAAAAATTGCCGAATATTGGTCTTCAATAATTTTTTTCTCAAACATTTACTATCAACTTTACAGAAAAACTGCAAAAGACAAAAATTGTTTATTTTCTTCTCACAAAACTCTAAGAATTTTTTCAGAATTTTTATTAACTTTTTAGTACTGCATTTTCCTATTGGCAACTATTTTTACCAACATGAAAAAATACAGTATTCAAAAATTCTGAAAAAATTCTCAGAACTTTATGAGAAAAAAAAATAATTTTTGTCTCTCGCTATTTTTCTATAAAATTAATAGTATTTGAGTAAAAAATGATTGAAAACTAATATTCAGCGATTTTTAGTACTTAATATCTTGTTTCTCTATATATATATATATATATATGTATATACACAACTAAAAAAATAGGAAAAATTTTCAAATATGCTTAAAATTGTGCAGTATTCAAAATATTGTAACTCGGTAAAAAATGATTGCAGATAAAAAATCGAAAAAATATTTGTAAGCTCGAATTTTTTTTAAGAAAAATTTTAAAGAAAAATGTTCCAAACAAAAATTTCTGACTTCGAGGGAGACATAAAAGGGTACTATTGATTTGACATTGTCATGGTCAAGGCAAGATCATTTTGAATTTTTAAGACCTATTTTTTATTACGTATTCTTATAGCTTACCTCGAGAGCTTTTCAAAACGCTCCCTGGTGAAAATTTTTCTCAAATTTTTTCATATAATTTTTCAGAATTCTATATAATTTTTCAGAATTTCCCTATAATTTTATAATTTTCTCATTTTTTACACGAATTGGAACATTTCTCAGAAAATCTACATCTTTTCTCAGAATTTTTCATATATGTTAATTATGAAATATCGTAAGATTTTTAAGATTTTTTGTAAGTATAATTTCTGACGAAATGTTATAAAATTAAAAAATATTTTTTTTAAATTATGGAATGAAAAATTTCAGAATATTTCAGAATTCAATTGTATGAAAAATTCTGAGAGAAGATGTAAACTTTCCGAATATTTCTGAGTATTTATGAAAAATGTTCCAATTTGTATAAAAATTATGAGAAAAATTTTCACCAAGGCTATAGAGGTAATAAAATGTTTTTTTATTAAATACTTTTCGAGTTATAAGGCTTGAAAGTTACAGAAATGTCGGCATTAGCGTTACCCAAGGTGTCCGACCGATGACTAAAACCTCTTAAATGTTGTTGAGGATCGTGACCTGAACATTTGTCAAAGTCGAGGTTATTGGAGGTTATATCTTTTATTTTTATTTTTTGCACTGAAAATTAATTTTTACGTAAAAATGAAAATAAGCGGTACAACCTCCAATAATCTTGATCATGATAAATGTTATTGAAGTCATGATCCCGAACAACGTTTAGGAGATTTTAGCCGACGGTTAGATGACAATTACACTTTAGGTAATACCGACCGTACTGTAACTTTCAAGTCTTATAACTCAAAAAGTACTTAATGAAAAAATACTTTATTATGGTGTTTCGAAAAGCTCCCGAAATAAACTACAAGAATATGTAACGAAAAATATGGGTTCCATTTAAAAAATTCGAAGTAACTTTGTCCTGACAAAATCTTAATTTGATATTATATTATTTCTATTATTATATATTAAGTTTATCTCTGTAAGTTTACAAGATAAAGAGGTGTGTAGCCACTTATACGGGGACACTATATTTGATATTTAAACGACAATATAATGTTACGTATGTTAGTGACGTATTCTGTACCCGTATAAATCTTTAAACTTCTGTTTACTATCGCGTTTATCATTCTCTTTAATGAACATAATAATCTTGATTATTTTTTAAAATATTAGATTAGTCAATCTGTTATAGGAAATATATTATTGATACTATAAGGACGTGTTGCACAATTAGGACGATTTTTTAAATATGTTCTATTAAAGATACAAAAAATGATAAAAACCAAAGTTGAGTAATATGATGTATCTATATTTCTATTTATTCATTTTTTTATTAAATGCAAATGATTGCACTGTTTTTAAATAAAAGATTTTTCTGAGCATTCTGCAAATAAACGTATAAAATGAAAGCTTGAAAAAGAAATATTTTACGAGATATTTTATATTTTATTTTATTATATTTTTATATTATATTTATAAAATATTTCATAAACAAGACATTTCTTTTATAACTACTTTAATACTTTTATACACAGAATAATCAAATGAATCGCTACAAAGGAAATATATAGTTGTTTTTCGAAAAAAATATGTAATTGTATATTATTATAACATTGTAATTGTATATTGCAAATTGCATAATTAATAACGCAGTAATAATGGAATAGATATTAGAACTTATCTGAATCGTGTGACGCACTCTGTATAAACGGATACTTTTGAAATCGAACTTGTATTTTCTTGAGATTAAATGAAGTAAGACATCGTGTACTCATAAATTGTGCAACATATTGTATATAGTAAGAGATCTCATGTCAAAGCGATTTTTTAACTAGTAAGTTATTACAGATCATCGTGGTGTAACAATGAGCAGCGTATCGGTTCATGGAACAAACGGATTGGAAAGCGTAGAAGAAATTGGAAGTGGGTGTTTGACCCTCTCAGAAGAACTGCCTCAACTCTTATGAATTCAGCAATTGTCAACTGAATCCCAATCTACTACAGAATATAACAATACAACAGCAAATATTTCATATTGCCAAGTATATTCTTCTCTGCACGAAAATCATTCTGGTTTGTAATAACGGTTTCATTAATCCTATCATTTAAAACTGAAGCATTTTATTTTATTTTCTTTAAAAACATAGAACTATTCAAAATTTGCGATGTACTTAGAGAATTGTGAGGGAGATTAGGATTCTGGCATAAAATTTGTCGCATAAACATGCTGTGTCCATATTGGCCGATGTACATGCGATATCGAAGGTAGCATTACTTCTGTTTTACAATTTGCGATGCGCTTTCCTATTTTTTCCGATGTTACTGTTATTATGTTTTTGGCAAATCTATAGATACATAAAGATGCAGCTAGATCCATTTTTATTTGAAAGATGATTACTCGTGTTTACATAATACGCGCAGTGACAAAGAATTTAAACCACTCTTATTTACATTCACATACATGTACACTCATACGCAACGACGGAACACACACACACACACACACACACACACACACACACACACACATACAATCACACTTGTATACATACTTTAAACCATTCGATTTAATACTTTTAACAATAATAAAAATGTTCGTTTATATCTGATGCAACAATAGTTGAATAAAATGTTTGTTATAGCCAAGTACACTCTTTGCGCTCTGTAAATACCTGCTCTGTGCATCCAATAATATCGCCGCTATTTTCCAATAAAAATACAAAATATTAATCTAAAAGTGCAACGTAAAATAAATTCGTTCAACACATATATTTTTGTTATACAACATTTTCGTTTTTTAATCATTTCTATCAGAAAAAAATAAATGGAAGCAGGTTGCGGTAAATTTTACTATACTAGTTACCATATATAAATTCACTAGCACCTAAAACTTGTTACAATGCCTACGACATCGATATATGTGTACACACACAACACGCGCGCGCGTGCGTTAATGATTTAACTCGAGCCACTTAATCTAAATATTTTGAAAAGGAAGCATTTTAGAGAAAAATATTCCGGATGAAAGTTGTATCGTTTGAAAAGAAAAAAATAATGGAAAAATCCATTTTTAACAAAACTGATTTTTCAAAGTCATATAATGATTATCATTTTTTAAAATAAAATATGATATTTTTAAACAAAATATGATTGTAAAGATATAATCCCATTTAAAAAAATAACGATGACTATTATATGATCTTAGAAAAACCGATCTTCTCAAAATTTGATTTTACCATTATTTATATCCCCTTTTAAATAATACAACTTTCGTTTGGAATATTTTTCTGTAAGATACTTTCTTTTCAAGATGTTTAAATTTCACGAGTTAAATGACTCACCCTGTGTGTATACAAAGTGTTTGATAAGTAACGATAAAACTTTCGCATAGGATTATAGCTAGGGACTAAACTGAGGGTGCGATTACATGTAAGGGTGGGATTTCATTTGTGCGTTTTTGTCGTACAACAAATGTGTGCAGGATAGAGAGGTCCTCGGATCTCTCTATCCTATAATCAATCAACAGGCTTGAAAAATTTGTCGTACGACAAAAACGCACAAATGAAATCCCATCCTAACGCGGTACAGAAACTAACTAGGTAACTATAGGAACCGCACAAACCGTGCCACTTGCTTATTTTCCCTTCTATTAGGGTGATGTCCCATGCAGCGGATCGTGCGTAAGCGGATTCGCGTATCGCCAATCACAAAATCATTCTCTTAGATCTGTTTGCAAATTTCGCAAGCATATCTAAGAGAATGATTCTGTGATTGGCGATACGCGAATCCGCTTACGCACGATCCGCTGCATGGGACATCACCTTTACATGTAGCGCGATAAGCGACACGGGCTAGTGATAAATAAACTTTAATATTAATTTTTTTTAATATATTAACTTATTTCTATGCACATCAATACTCTTATTTTTTCAACGGATTTACTTAATAATTGCATTTAAATCAATTAATTCTATTAAAAAGTACTTAGTAACGTGAATTTGTCACTGGTGGTCCGTGCCGCTTACCGCGCTACATGTAATAGAGGAGAAAAGAAGCAAACGATACGGTTTGCGCGGTTCCTATAGTTACCTAGTTAGTTTCTGTATCGCGTACCGCGCTACATGTAGTTTTGATAGTACTTCTTTTTAGTTTTGATTTTTAGTAATTGATATCTTGTTAACTATTGCGAAAATTGCAAATGGTAAAAGACTTTTCGACTCAGTTCAGTCCGCTCTACTTCTATGCGAGTTTTATCGTTACTTATCAAACATCCTGTACACCCACCCACACACACACACACACGCACACACATCTCACAAGTGTCTCACATCTACCGCATTTCCTCTTAAGAATTAAGTATTCTTGAGGTAATTTTGAGACGAAAATCCTAATACAAAAATATCGAGGCTCTACAATAGTTTTTGAATTATAATTTTTTTTTTAAAGATAGTGTGTAATTCGAAAACTATTATACCCTCGATATTTTCGTATTAGAATTTTCGTCTTAAAATGTTCAAAAGAATCCAAAAATAATAGAGGCTATCAAAGTAAAATGGTTTTGGGGACTTATAAGCATTTAAAGTTAGTTTATAATTCAAAAAATTATTGTAGTCTCGACATTTTCGTATTAGGATTTTCGTCTCAAAATTACCTCAAGAATGTGTCCTTAAGAAGAAATGCGGTAGTTGTGAGACAACCTGCATATACATTATATATACATATATGTATACTTCACGTGTGCGTGCATGCGTGTATACACATATACAGGGTGTCCCATTTTAAATGACGACTTCAAATTTTTCTTGAATAGTACATTTTAGAGACAAATGTTTCAGACAAAAATTTTGTGACTTCGAAGGGGACATAAAATGGTACCATTGGTTTGACCTTGGGTGGCATAGTCAAGGTGAGGGCAAGGTCATATACAGTTTTTTAAATGAGACTCCTCATTTTTCATGACGTATTCTTGTAGCTTATCTTGAGAGCTTTCCAAACTAATATAATTAAGTTTATTTTTATTAAGTATTTTTCGAGTTATAAGGCTTACAAGTTACAGCATTGCCAGCATTATCCATGGCCTGGATAACGTTTGTTACAATCAAGGTCATTGGAGATTGTTCCTCTTATTTTCATTTTTTGCACTAAAAATTCATTTCTACGTAAAAATGAAAATAAGAGGTACAACCTCCAATAGCCTTGATCTTGACAAACATTATCCAAGTAGTGATCCTGAACAACATTCAAGAAATTTTAGCCGTCGGTCGGACATCATGGGTAATGCCGGCGGTGCTGTAACTTGCAAGATAACTCGAAAAATACTTAATGAAAATGAACTTGGGTAATGTTAATACCGACGGTACTGTAATTTTCAAGACTTATAATTCGCAAAATACTTAATGAAAAAATTACAAATTAAGGCTCCTGACTACTCAGCCAAGAACTCTACGTTGACGGTGGCGACACAGTATCAGACGGCAGTCTGGCAAAATCGGTAGCCACACACTTAAGCACGAGCCCATGTCCGTGTGACATGGGATCGTGCTTGTATGTGTGTTACAGCGCTACACCACAATAAATGATCGAACTTATAGGTGTGAAAAAGTGACATTTTGACCAGTTTTGACGACGAAATTTGTGCACAATGCCATTTCATTATTATTTGCTTAATTGTGAAAATGTGACTTGTTTCGTACTTCTCAAAGTCGTAATTTTCGATGACAACTAAAGTTATCTTGGAATTTTATACGTAAAAGTGTATATTTAACTCGTTTCAACAGTCATGAAACCGTGTGTTTCTGCCAGAATATAGGCTCACTTTACGAGTCTTTTACGACCATTTACTGACTATCAAGGAAAAAAAGGACAGTTTTCATCGATTTTTACAAGTATTTTAAAGCGAACCCATCGTTTAATTTCATCCAAATTGTCTCTGTTTACAAATGGCATCGTGCATAAATTAACGTGTCATTCCTCGCTTCTGACGTCACGATTCCAACATGGCCGCAGCGACTACTCAGGGGCTTTAATATAAAAACTAATAAGTTTTTACAAACTCCTTTAATTAAAATAATTAAAAATTAATAAATATCTTAAACAAGGACTCTCTCTTCTTAAAATAACAAAAAATAACCTAAATGTGGGCTAATGAGATTCAGCGCGAGCGAAGGTGCGCAATAAATCTTCACAAATAAAATTTGTTACCTCATGTGATTTGTTACTTTTGGAAAATGATTATCCATTAAATTTTATATTCGATACTATTAATGAAAGAGTTAAAACATTAATGAATAAATTGAATTGTTCAGCTAAAAAAACAAATAACAATTTACCTAAAGAACGCGTTAAATGGTTTTCCATACCATATTTAGAAGAGATATCGAATAAATTCAAGAATGCAATTAATGGGGTTTGCCATAGGGTTTCATTTTTTAGTTTGAACAAGTTGAATCAGTTTATTAAAGTTCGTAAGGATTCTTTAAACAATGAATTAAAAAGGAATGTAGTCTACAAGATCGACTGTCGTGATTGCAATGCTTCCTATGTGGGAAAAACAGGGAGGAAATTAAAAACCAGACTTTCTGAACACAAAAAGCATATCCATAGTAAAACATCCACTCATTCAGTGATCACAGAACATAGGTTGCAAAACAATCATAACTTTGATTGGCAAAACGTAGAGATTTTGAATGTAGAAAATTATTATAATAAAAGGTTAATATCAGAGATGATGCATATTAATCGACAGACCAATGGGCTGAATTTACAACATGATACCATTGGTTTAAATCATACGTACATTGAAATTCTCAATAAAATTTAAGGCTTGTTCGTAATACAATATATGACATAAACTTGTTTGTCTTCAAATTGACCGCTATGTTACTTGTTTAGCAATCATTATTTAACCGACTATCGAAATGACAAGACACATATTGTTCTCGCAGTTATTTTTTAAAATTTGACGATAATTTATAACATATTAACGAATTACAAAATGTTAAATAAGAGAGATTCATTGTTCAGTGTAGAAGCGTCGACTGTGTGAGGTGAGGTGAATATCAATATTTTCAAATTATTCATACGATAATTTAATCTTTCATATAATTTTAGCTTGAGTTCTCATTGCCACTCAGCTTTCTAACTTTGTGAGTATGTGACTTACCTCACAACAATAAACGGTTCAATATTTGAGAGGAAAAACGTTGGAGATATCATTTTGTCATGCAATACTCCAATCGTTGCGCTAGGGTGAAAGATTGCTGATGAAGACTCAAACCATGAGTGGAAACGTTCAAAGTTACGATTTATATATTTAGTATTAAGAAAAATTGCGCTAACTGATAACCAGCGTTGACTCCTATTGCCTCTAATACATATTTTATGGTTTTATTAATTATTTCAATGAAAAAATATTTTATTGTTTTGAAACTCTCAAGGTAAGTTACAAAAATATGTAATGAAAAATGGGAGATTTCATTTAAAAAATTCAAAATGACTTTGCCCTGATCTTGACGACACCCAAAGTCTAGAGACCCTTTACTGGAGACTGGCCATCTGCCCAACAAATGGCGGCGATAAATCGATTCCATCGATTGTTGTCGATTTCATTTGTGCCATTTGTGATCGTTATGTCGTTATACTTGTCATGTCAAACAATACGTGTAGGTTGGAGAAATAGCTTGTAAATACATATTGACTGAATTTAAGTATTAAAATAGAACGGAT